TTGGGAGACAGGGCAAAGAGATGCAGCCAAGGGAATGGTCAGATAAAAGGCAACTTAGCTCCCAGCAGGAATGTGGGTAAGGCAAGAGACTCAGAAGAAACCCTCCCTAGTTTCTTGGGCTGTAATGGGGATGGGAGGAGAGATACATTTTCAAACTTGCAAGATTCTGTTAATGTAGCCTTACAATAAAGTAGAATGAACTCATCTGGCCATGTTTCCTGTCTGGTCTACCTTGCAAGGTTGACACTGAACTTTCTTACCCACTGCTCCCTTCCCTGATCCCCCCCTTGCAGACGCCCCTGTCTGGAATTGGTGGAATTCAGAAAAGAAGGACAGTAGTAACCAACTGGGCTCAAGAAGGAGAAATCTCCAAACAAACAGATAAACAAACAGACTGGCAGTGTTGACACAGGGAAAAAGATAAGCAGATGGTGGCAATGTTATCCTGAAATCTGCTGTCTAATTTTACAAAACATTTCTTTTCCTGAGAAAGAAGATTTAGCTTTTCTGCCTCTGGTGCTCTTCTGAATTCCTTCCTTTGTATAATGGTTCTGGTGTTGTTATTTTTAAATATCTGCATCTCTCACTCTCTGTTGTCTCCCTGGAAGCCCATTCTTCTGGATCTGGGAGGAGGAATTCCTGCATGATGTCCTCCCTTGGAATTTCATTGAAATGTAAGAAGTAGGCAGAGTCAGGCTACTGGGGAAATTAAAATTCTATAATTTTCTTAAAAGTACACAAGAGAATATAGAAAAAGATACAAGACATATGAATACAATTTGATCAATTCAAGCCCAACTATATCTTTAAAATAAAAGTGAGTAATACAAGCTAAGAAACTCATGTGAAAAACAAAAACATTAAATTGGGAAAAAGAAAAACAAAGGGAATGAAAGGAAACAATGAAAAAATTATCTAGTTATTGACAATACATGAATAACAGCAATAATCCTTATGCAAATCACAACAGCTAAATTTTCAAATAACAAATTGAATTTTGACCACAAGAATTATACTGTCCAACCTTTCCTTTCTGTTGATAAGTAGTCAGTTCAAAGGTTGACAGTTGACAAATTTCATTAAGTGAAGCCTTAAGGAAGGTGTCCTTCCAAGAAATATATTTATCTTTTTTATAAATCTGAGACTGTTGGTTTTATGATGTAGGTATTCCTATTCTCAATTCTCAATTCCAAATTTCTTTTTCTTTTTTGGTAAATTATATTCTTTTTACATAATCAACTGATTAAGAGTTATTCCATTTTCCATTCATCTATTAAAAAAAATGGGGGGGGGGGCTTCCCCACCATTTTTAAAATAAGTTATTCCAAAGCATCAATTTCTCATGAGAGACCACAGGTGAGATGCTTATACAATGAAAGATTAAATTTAATTATTAGCATCCTGCATCATTTCCTTGAGCATTTCACACTTTTTTCACAACATGAAAATAATTTTTCTCCATAAAAGTGAAAAATTGTAAAAAAAAAAATGGGGGGGGGGGGGGGGCTTCCCCACCATTTTTAAAATAAGTTATTCCAAAGCATCAATTTCTCATGAGAGACCACAGGTGAGATGCTTATACAATGAAAGATTAAATTTAATTATTAGCATCCTGCATCATTTCCTTGAGCATTTCACACTTTTTTCACAACATGAAAATAATTTTTCTCCATAAAAGTGAAAAGTTGTAAAAAAAAAAATGCAGAAAGAATCAATAGAGACAAAAGGCACAGAAGATGACTACATTCTGGGTGAAGGAGTAGCATTTCTATTAGAAACAAGAGGAAGAATGGCAAAGGGTACAAGAATAATGATCTGTCATGGTGACATAGAACTTTTCCACATAAACGTTTCCAATTACAACCTGACAGTTCCATCATAAAATGAACATTTGAATTTGAAAATTATTTATATCAATGACTCTTAACATAATAAGCTAGGCCTTGCTCTGTTTTGTTGGAACTAGTGGATGTATTCCAGTGAAGCTTAATCTTCATTTGTCCAAAAATAAAATTCCTTGCCCTCCTTCTGCAGGTTGCTATCCTGCTATCTGAGCAACCTAGATTGTATGCCTCTCCAGATAGCCTTTTGGAGAAAGAAAACCCTTTGAAAAAGCCTTGGGAAGTGAACAAGGATAATATATGTGTCTGCACAGTCAATCTTCCTCCACCAAAAGAGAACAAAAGTTAGTGGGTTCCTCCCACCCCTATATTCCCACGGTCCATCTGTTCACCTACTATAAAAACACACAAGTTCTTTGTAAGCAAAAGAACTGGTATGGTAGAAAAAGGGCTGTATAATCTTTGGAATCTGGCTTGATATTTTAAGCTGACTTTTGAAACGGCTGAAGGTAGGGTGGAGAAATAAGAAACATTTCATGCTTTGCCCCTGATCAGCATGGCAATGGGATTTTGTGGAAGATAGGAATGAAGCTGAGGAATTGCAAAGTTGTAGATTCAAGGAAACATGTAATTATTTAAAGCCACCTAACAGAAGGATCATCCTGTACGAAAGGAATATCAACTGAAGATGTCCAGACTTTTGAAGGCTCTCCAAATAGCTGATTTTATCAGAGAAAATAGCCTTTTTTCAAAACATGTGACAGGGGAGATTTAATCACATATGTTGCAGGCTGCATCATACAGATGGTGTACAAACTTAGGTTTAAGACTCCAAAGCAAATCTCACAGGTAACTACATATCAGATGAAAATGGCGATGATGCTGTTGATCAGTTGGAAAAAAAAAATCTAAGAAGTTGGTACAGAAACAGAATTCTAAATTCATATAGGTAATCTTGACTCTTTCTTGAAATGATAATTCTACTCTGTACTAGACCTATAGCGACCACACTAAGAACCTATTGCTGGACTGTTGTTTGTATGCAGACCCTTGAATCCTAGCTACTCTGCAACAATTCTCAAGACACTGCCAATCTCTTTAGAGTCCTCTGTGTCTTAGAGTTTACCTATGTCTCCTGAATGCCTTAGATAGTCAGGTAAACTGCAGAAAAAACTGGCATGACTAGGCAGGACAAATATGACAAGTCCATTTTGGATTGAACTTGGACTTCCTGAAGTTCTCCAAGGTCTAAAATGGATCTGTGTGGGCTGAGCCAATGCATATTTCTAAGTGCATGGGCTTCAATCACCAAGGACACAGGGATAATCTAAAAGAAGAAAGATGAGAAGGAACATGAGAGGAAAGGCAAAAGTAAAATGAATTGACCTTGTGTCTGTGACATATGAATATGTAGATTATGGAGAATGTATATATTTGTGAATCGATAAGTGTGAAGGGGATGGTTTGTGGATAGATCTCTGAATGAATTTGTTCACTAATATAGTTTGTTTCAATTTAGCATGAATCTGAACTCATTAAGATTTAGAGTGGGGCTGTGCAAAGCATGGGGAAGGGTGCATACGTTTTGCAAAGCGGTCTTCCTTAAAGACACATTCTCCAAAAGGCTTACTATGGTTCCTTCAAGGGCCTTCCCAGATGGTCTCTACATGTAGGCATAGTTGCTTTATTTGCCAGCAGTCCTAATGGAAGTCTTCTCTGCATGGACAAGAATATATGACAAGCTTGTGAAAGCCTTCTTTTGGATGATATGGTAGCCTCAGTACTTTGACAAGGGTGCTTTGCTCATGCCAATGTGCTTTGCAAGACACTTCTCTGTAGGCTTCAATCAGCTCTAGTTTAGTAATGCCTGCAATGCAGTCCATTGTAGCTTGCTCAGCAAAAGATGCTTTTAAAAAATCTTGGCTTAGAAGTATGTGTGAAAAAAACCTCATATGTGTGTATGGCATTGGTTCTGCCCACATTCTACTTTTGGCATCATTTACTTGAAATTTTGGTCCTAGCCATTGTGGGATATGTTCAAAGGAAAACTGAACATGGGGGAATGTAGTCTTTGGCTGGGGGAGGGGGAGAGGGAAGAGTTGCCCACTCCTTCTTTTCCTTGAATTTCACTCATCTTTGAAATTCAGTCTTATCCCCACTTGCTGATAAGTTAAAGAATAGGCACATGGTTCTGGCATTATTGACGATAATAAATTTGACGCTAAACGCTGACATTAAGCGCCGCTGGGAACTCAAATGTGATTTTCCCATTAGCTTGCCATATATTACAGACGAGTGAAGGAAATCAGTCCCTTTCCTTGTATGCATGGAAGGAAACGATATTGCACGCCTGTCGTTAGAAATCTCTTATAGGCTTTGATCGCTGAGCGCAGATAAATTCAAGAAGGTGGAAGCTTCCCTTTTCTCTGCGTGCATTCTTCTGTTCATTTCTGTCTGCCACGTACCTATGCAATGGAAAGCACAAGAAATCTCTCTGCTGTAGAAAGACAGACAAAGAATCCCAGAGAAATACCTCTAGTTTCAGATAGAAAAGTAGTCGGTTACCAGAGTTCCGGGAGAAGACCTCGTTCTAACTTGCGCTTTGATCTCTCGACAGCAAAAAAAAAAAAAACGTCGATAGTAGCGCGAACGCGGCTAAAATGGGACGAAGTCCTTTCCTCGGACTCTGGGGGTCGCTGCAGCCCTTCCTTGCGCGCCCTTCTCCCTCCCCAGCAGCCCCCAGAGGAGGCTGAAGCTCAGCTTGGCGGCGGGCAGCGCAAATGCTGTGCGGCGCCTCCTCCAAAAGCTGCGCGTCTGTGCCGAGCGGCGGAGTGGCAGAGCCGGGCAGCCCCGCCAGAGGGACGAAGCGAGGCGATGTCAGCCGGCTCC